CAAATTATCCCATTTCAGACACATTATGCAAAGATCTAGCTCTCTGGAAAAGGCTGTAATGCTGGGAAGGATGGAAGGAAGAGAAGAAAAGGATGATCAACAGCAAGGTGGATGGACTCAGTTACAGTAGTGATTGATGCAACATTGGAAGACCTGAAGGACCAGATTAGATACAGATTGTCATGCAGAAAATCTATCTATGTGGTCACTAAGAATTAATATCAACTTGACAGCACATAATCAATCAATCACCATAAGTAAGACTAAATCAGGATCTAACACAATACTTACTGCCTCTTTTTATCCAAAATGGACTCCCAAGGCAGCTTATAATTAAATCAGTTCCAAAAGGTACAATATAATTAAGAATTTGCTGGTGTATGTACTGTTGACAGCATGTGCACAAACACACATGCATACACTTATTGGTCCTTGACAGTTGGAGGTAGAGATGGATTTGAGGACTGGTGGCCCAGAAAGGCAGCCTTTGTATTTAGTTATGCATTCTGAATGGCTCAAGAACAAAACGCTCAATTTAAACTGAAAGGAAATAAACATAAAATTCTTTTTGCAATTACCACCATTTTTTCTAATGGAGATGAAGCCATTGTCCTCTTTCAGCATACCTGCATGCTATAAGAAACCAAGCAACATTTGAAGAGAACCAGACAGTTGAGTAGTTCAACATGAGCTACAAGGCAACATTTCAAGATCCTGAACCATGTCTTGGAAAGAAAGTGATGGATGAAACAAAATATCACTTGAGCATTAATTAGCCCACATCAGTCTCAAACCTATTGGAAATTTCTAATAAAGTTGCAGGGGCATTTAAAGGGCCTGAGGCCACAGATAACAGAGCCATAGATGCAACAGTCTTTACTGTGCCCACTTCAGTTTCCAGGGATGACTCTTGGAATTAAGTCTTGAGGATCTATGTGTAAACAGGGGCAGATTTCCCCAACTAAAAGGTTGAGATGATTTTCTTAAATTCAGAATCAGATAGTTCCTCCTTCTCCTCCTCCTTCTAGGAGTGCAGTCTCCATGTTCAAAGAGAGTACATGTTGCTGAGGACAAAGTGCAGCAGAGCAACAGCAGGAGGCTGGCTGCCACTCCCCTTCAGTCCTGTCTGCTGGCTTCTAGGAGATAGCAGGTTGGCCATTATGAGAAGTTGTTTAGTTTTATCATAGCAGTTGAGTTTACTTTTAATCTTCATTCATTCAAAGATGATTAATCCTTCTGAATAGATGCCTGTACCATAGGCTCATTGCAGGAACCTCTATCAGAGGAATCCAGAGAGCAGGTGAATTAACTAGCCATAAGGTGTGGGGTTTTTTTTTTTGAAGGAAATATTTACATCCTCTCTTATTAAGTTTTCTTCCTTCAGCCCACTTTGATGTTTAGACATCAGCTTCTTCTCACAACTGCTCAGCCCTAGGAACATTCAGGCTAAAACTGTAAAAGCAGACACACCAGGTCTGCCCAGCTGCATCCCCAAAGTGTTCTGTTTAGGCATGCAAAGCAGGGTGCTACAAATGCAGAAATCTGCTGTGCACTTTCGATCAAAGCGATGACAGTTAATAAGAACAGCCCGAGACATCTGAAAATAAATCCAGCATAATCAAATGCTCGCCGCCACACAACTTATACAACTCAAGCCAAGAATGGAATAGCAATAGAATAATAGAATGGAAGAGGCATTCTTTTGTCCTCAAGTCCTTCAGCTACTAGTACAAGTAGGGCTTTGTGTACTTGCATAAAACTATTTTGCCAGGCAGAGGTTCATTTCAGATATCATATCAAACCCTGTCCTGCCCTAATTACAATTTAAAATCCACTTCATTGTTTGAGCTTTCAAAATCTATCATTGGCACACCATTACTCAGAGTTGCTTGTATCCTTCATGGCACTTCCACATGGTTACTGGCCTCACCCTCTTATATCTTCTGCAGTAGGGCTGCATTGCCATGAGAGTGTTCTTACTGCTCATCTCCATCCCTCCCACTGAACTGGCCTGCACATCCCCAAGCTTGTCAATGGGAGGGCACAAAAATGGCAACCAATCCTTGTTCTTCCCTGGTCACATTTGTTTTTTTTGGGGGGGGGGGAATACAGAGAACCCAACCAGAGATTGTACAGGGTGGGAGTGGCAAATTATGCCTTCAGAGCAATTATGTTATGGGAGGATGGGGGAATGGTATAAAGGTTGGCTACAGAAGGGGGAGAGAAATCCCAGAAGCCAGGACAAGGCAGGAATACCCACCAAACCTCTAGTTAAAATGTATTTCTTCCATCCATCCATCCACCCACCCATCCATTGATTATATAAGTATCTATAAAAGCTGGCAAATAAGGATTTTTTCCCCTTAACATACACAAAAACGCTTTCATGCTGAGGCTTCTAAAAACAAAATGCTTACATTGTCTGAAAACAAACAAAAATCCCCCTCGATGCTTCATAAATATTGCTTTTATACATATGTAAATTTAATCCCCATATCAATTAAATTAGCTAAAACTCCTATAACTAAAATCTATCAACATTTCTTTAACTGGGTTTCAGACATAATGATTACCAATGGTAAAAAATAAAATAAAATCACTTGCCACCTGTAAGCACCAAGATGTGAAATACCCAGAGAAATGAATGGAATGTGTATATGTCCATGAAAGAGAGAGGGAGTGTGCATAAGTACCGGGAAGCAAGAAAATTCTGCCACTGCACTTGAACCTGGATCTCCAACCAATTTCACAACCACCGTTACAAAGCTGGGCTTTTCAAGGGCCAAGACAGTAGCTCACCATCTCCCTATACCTCATTTCATGATGAAATGAACTGAGATATCTCTGCTAAGTTGTGACAACCAGTTCATTTTCATGAATGATGGCTTCACCACTTTGGTCAATCCCACAACTCTTCGAATCTCTTGAGGGAGGGTATGCTTCAACCAAGAGACTAAATCCTGCTCCTAGTTTTCAACTTTATGCATTCATATTGTTCATATATGAAATGCTCAGAGACTGGAATGGCATGTATGTCCATGAAAGAGAGAAAGAGACAGAGTGAGTGCATCAGTATAGGTAAGCACTTTTGTTAATGGTTTCATGGAATATATTTTTAGGGTTCACTTATCTGCTCTTTGTTCAACCCATGAATCATGAAAACTTACTTGAATCCTAGGGTAAAATAGTCTTAAATCTAAAAGAACACACAAAATGCCTTTCAAAGCAGCAAATGATGCTTAAATGGGACAGATTATAAATAGTAATTTGCAAACACTTTATTCCCTAGGAACCCTTTTTCCTTAGTTTGACTAGATGAGGATCCCCTGTGCCACAGAACTCCCACTGAAGAAGAATCCTGGATATGTTCTAAGGTATGCTGTATTCACATGGAGCAACAACCAACAATCATGTTTCACCATCACCACAGGTGAAATTAGAATTACATAGTGAAACTGGCAGATTCAACCTCCAGCACCTCCATTTAAAATGAGCAGGGAGTAGATCAGAAGAGAAACTAACTCCCTGGCTAATAATTGCTGCCAAAAATATACCACCTTTACCAATCTAATGCCCTACCATAGATAATAGTTGGGGATGCGGGAAATAATTGCCCAGTACATCTGCAGGACTACAAGTAGGGGAAGGCAGACAATTTAGGCAAGCTGAACAAATGATCTAACCTGGAGTAACTTTCTAAGAATAAGGAGGAGGAAAAAATCAGGCAAAATTAATAATTTCAGTCTCTGATTTCTTCATCCATTTTTTAATGATCTGCCAGGAGAAATAATCAACATAAGAAAATAGTTTTTCTTGTTTGCACTGGTGTGTATTGCATCTTCAACCAAACAGGTTAGAATTCTACTGCTGGAACTATTGTTTATATTCAAACATCAAAGCCTTCTTCCAGCACAGAAGAGACTTGCAGTATGTAGCATTAGCCCTTGTAACTGGCAGGCACTATGAAACCTTTGGCTTGGGCAAAGTCTGAATACTCAAAGCCAAATGCTCTATCCTTACTAATCAATCAAGTGGTAACCTCAGCTTTTGCTCTGCAAGAAACAGTACGAGCATTCCTTGATTCCCCTGATCAGAATCAAGGAGAAAAAATGGCAGACAAATTGAATTTCACACTCTAAACTGTACTGCATTTCTAGGGCATGTCTCAAAGTGTAAAGTGCCTTACTCAGTTTGGCTGAGAAAGAATTTAACTTTAAGAGCTAAGACTGGTCACTGGCTACTTTCTCAGTTCATAGTCAAGCAGAAATTTGAATACACAGTACTTCAGATCCAAATAAAGACCCTTCCTTTTAACCCCACTGCGCTACAGTATAAGCAAAAGAAACGTTCATATTGGGGCCATCCAATCAAAATGTTTTATGATGCCTGCCAATTACAAACACCAATACTGCATACTGCGTGTGTGGAAATGTGTTTACAGTGCCCAAGTTGAGGTTCAAATCCATTCTGAACCATTTTTAAAGCCATCTGTAAAATGGGAATATTCATGACAAATACATGTTGGATATTCACAAAACAAGTATCCTCAAAAGTTACATATTGAAAAATCACACAACTGTAACAACAAATATGAGTGGACTACTACTCTCTAGCCTATCTGGAAAACAGTTCCTATAACCTTTAATTACTGGCCAAGTGGCTGGGGTATATCAGTGTTGTAGGAACACCACTTATAAAGTTAACCAAAGTCACTGTCACACTACCACATTTATGTAAGCTTGGGAGAAACTTTCATGAAGTAAAATACAAACCACACCATCAGCATGAAAGCGTATGAAAAGTAAAACCCATGCTCCTCTTGTAGCTTCCTAGGTCAGCCTTCCCTAACCTGATGCCCTCTGATGTACTGGACTAGAACTCACATTATCACCAGCCAACAGGAAATCCTTAATTCAGCAGAAGTCTGCAAACTTACAAAAGTACAGGCTCTTAAGCTTTTGTCTATAGGAAGAGAAAAAAATAGTTGATGTTGTACTTACACCACTGGAAAGGTTCTCAGCATAATTTACATGGGGAGAGGAAGGTCAGAAAGCCTCTTGGAGGTCTTCAGTATTTGTTACCATTCTGAAACAGATAAGAAGGAGAAGATTTAATTTTTTAAATAATTTCTTAGAAATTATTTTTCATAACATTGCACACATCTAAACAAATACCTTGCAAACAGGCAATCATTATTTCATTTTCTATCAAAACTCCTATAAAGCTCCAATCTGTCTTAAAATAGACAGGACTCTGATGGGTAGGAGGGTCTTTTTGAAATATTTTACAGTGTATCACAATGTAAATGCATCTCAAGGACATGATGGGTTAGAAAGCCATAATTATTGAATAAAACACAGAACTAAAATACCAGTTTCCGAGAAACATGCGTAGATTTAGAATGACAAATCAACGTAAGCTGACAACATGACTTGAAGTATATGAAACCATACTATTTTAACATGTTTTCCATTACTTAGAGAAACCAGACATATCTCACTTCAAAACTGTTAATGCTTTATTTGACTATGTACTATTTTGGGTACCAACAGGTACTGGTAAAAACTGAAAAACCCAGAGAAAGCTACAAGAATGATTAAATAAGGCAGAAATTAGATAGGGCAGAAATCACAAGCAAAGAATGTTGATGAAGATTCTCAGTCATCCAGGTGGAATTATCTGGAGGTTGAGTCATGGCAACTGGACTTCTTTTCTTTTGGTTTGATACATTTCGCTGCTTGTCCAGAGAAACTTCTTCAGAAACTTCTGCAGAAGTTTC